AAAGGGACTTCATGACTCTTGTCATTTTGGAAGGGACTCTTTAACTCATCTCTGCACTTCTGTATTTGTCGGCAAAAACTTACCCCGGAGCACGTGCTATTTTAGAGATCTGGATCTAAAGGACCAGGGATTGGGGCCAGCAGTTGGCGTGGTGGTTAAGGGTACTGGACTCCTACTATGGTTCGAGTCCCAGACCTGGTAGCTTGCTCTCTCACTTGCTTGCTCTCGCTCTCTCTCTGTCCCTCTCTGGTCAAATTTAAGTAAATAAAGTTAAGTAAAATAATTTAAGAAAAATAATAAAATAAAGGACCAGGGATTTAATATAATGCAGCTCAGCGCTCTCCCATCCTATGACAGAAACATATGCACTCATGTCCAAAAAATCTTGACAAAATGGAGAAGGGATTGTGGCGTGACCAAATCCCACTGGGGAGTGGCTTTCTCTCTCTCCCGCTGTTTGTCTCTCTGGTGAGCCCTTGTGCCCTCTCGCAAATTAAAAAAGAGACAGAGACACAGCACTCTCAACAGGGTTCTGATGCCACAAGCCACTCCCAGTTTCAGCTAACCCAGATCACGGGCACAGTACTCAAGGAAGTCCTGGGCATGAATTGATAACTTCCCCATGTGGGTCTGCCTTGTAAAGCGTTGCAATTTACAACTATGCTACCTTCCAGCCCCACCCAATGACATGTCTTGCAGAGACAGAGAAACTCATCCTAAAATTTGTATAGCCTCTCAAGGGACTCAATGGCCAAAACAATCTTGAAAAGCACAACAAAGCTTGAGAACTCACACTTCCTGATTTCATGAACAACAAAGCTGCAGTCATCAAAACTGTGGTACTGTAATAAAGACAGACCTATAAGCCAGTGGGGTAGAATAGAGCGCAGAATCAAACTCGCTCATAGATGGACATGGGATTTTCTACTAACGGGGAAGAAAGGATAGTCTTTTCAACAAATTCTGCTGAGAAAACTGGATATCCACATATAAAAGAATGAAGCTGGAGGGTCAGCCAAATGGCGTGGTAGGTAGGATGGCTGGATCCCACATGGCCGAAAGCCTGCTTTGAATTCGCAACTAGCAGCTTAAGAACCACACCCGGCACATGTGCATGCAAGCCCGCAATCCCCAGAGGAAAATGGAGACGGGATTGCGATGTGACCATACTGCATCAAGGGTGCTTTCCCACTTTCTCTCTCTCTCCAGATAGCACACACACTGGAGAGGAAATTGATTTTAAAAACAACAACAACAAATTACAATGAAATACCACCTCATACCCATTAGGATGGCTATTATCAAAGGAAAAAAAAAAAAAAAAAGAAAAAA